CCCCAAAACCCCAAAACCCCAAAACCCCAAAACCCCAAAACCCCTTCCCTGTCTTAGATATTGAACAATGAATTTCTAGTATATCCACCGATTTTGGCATTCCTCAAAGTTTTACTGCATCATTACAGCTTTTAAGAAATTTTAACAAAGAATTTTGAGGGGATTCTACATATTTTATTCACAATTATAAGCCCATCTCGCACTAATTCTGAGCTGAGTTGGAGTTATTGCTATTGTTGCTAGACTCTGATTGGTTTTGGCCAACTCTCTTAATTTTAAGCTTTATTGGAGAACTCATAGTTGAGCTTGAGTTTTCTGAGTCTCAGGAACTTTTTCTGCTTTGAGAGTTCTCAATTTTATCACAAATATCTTGAGGAAGGTCTTTGACACTTGCATTAAAACTAAGAGCAGCTTCTTTGACATAGTTTAGAATATAAGTATCATTAATAGACGATTTGCTCTTTGTCAGTTCTAGGATCTCATAAAAATGGGCTTTAAGCTCTTGAGAGGACTTATTCCAAAAAGCAAACTTAAATCTGCTCCATCAGGGTCCATATTTCTGATAACATTGAAAGAGGAGTTTCTCTTGATCAAAAGTCCATTTAGTTTTCCGGTCAACAACAAATACAGGGCCAGATTCTATTTTAATATTGCTATTATGTAGAATTTCTTCGCTGTTCTTTTGTTCCTCTTTCCTCCTCCTCTTTTTACGCCTTGTTCTTTTCGTACTATGATCTACCCTTTGGTTCTCTTTAGCGGCTTCTTTCTCCATTTCCTCAAGCTTCTCTTGGTCTTTATGAGATTTTATGATCACTGACATGTATGGGTCAAGATAGCTATACCAGCGAAACATAATATCCCGGTCTGCTCGTTTACGTATCTTTCAGTTCTCCCAGTTATTAACACCATGTGCTGCAACAAACTTGAGTATCTGATTATCTTCCTTTTCTGTCCATTTAGCATCAATTAAATGCGAGTAATATCTTTTAAATCTCATTTGGCACTTGGTAAGGTTTCTTCATCCAACTGCAACCTGGACTGCCTTCCAGTCCTTATAATTAGTCCTTAGGAGGCTGGTGATGAGCCTGATGTCTTCCTCCATCGTCCATGGGCCTACTCGTTCCATTTTGGAGTTTTAAGTTTTGTTTTATTTTAAGTGAACTGGGAAAAGGCAAGAGTAAACACTATATTCAAGCTATTTTAAATTTAGAGTGCTTTCAATTATTTAGTACCTTTGTGGGGTTTTGGGGTTTTGGGGTTTTGGGGTTTTGTGG